AGTTTTTGAATTACAACCATATAAAAAAATTGATTTGGTCGAAAACTGGTTTTGCGTAAAAATCCTCGATTATTAAGAAAAGTACAGTCACATTTTTAATGATTACTCCAACCAAAATTTTAACTTGATTCACTTTCATGTTAATAAAATATTTGGTGAAAGTTGTTAGATTCATAGTAAGTTGTTAATTTTTTATGTTAAAATGAAAACTACATTTTTACTGTAACAAAAAGTGACAGCATGAAAATAAATTAAAAATAACACCTATCATAGTAAAWTCAATAGATACGTCCATAAGCTCTACTTAGTTTCTGATTCACTTTAAGTTGTCTTAAAATTTCTTAACAAAGCATTATTTACCATTGAATTCTTGTGAACATACACATAAGTAATCATTTTGAATTTTAAATTGTTGTCCATCCTTATAAGTTTTACCATCATAAATACACTCATGAATGGTCGCATTATTATCTTCAGCTAAAAAAAATATTTAATGTCATAAATTTATCGCATATTGTTCATGATATTATGTTGATTTTCAATCCCAATACAATCTTTTTGTCTAAAAATTACCTTTAGAATCTATTGATTGACATCATTTAGATTAAGGTTGTTAATTGTTATTGTCTACACTGATTATTATTTATTATTATTACAKCATGAAACATGACAATTTATCAATCATTTACGACTTAAGAATTTTTTGTGCWATCAGTTTAGGCTTTAATCCCGCTCCCCTTGGTGTATGGCTCGACTCACAAACATCGTAATAAATGACTCGTGTATCCAAGAGCGAGGATGCATGTACTGAACTTTGTCCTCATCATTATAATCTGGCTGTACACACACGTAATACACACCAAATCAACTTAGGTATAATATGATTCTTGCAAACGGTTACCCTTACTATTATAGTTAACATTTAAGTGAATTTACTCATTATCGAATTTTTAACACGGATAGTAAAATACACTGTGATCGAGCTAAGTATTTTGTTTTCCTATTTTCATATTTAATAGCATCGTAAACTTATAATTTAATGATCTAATATTGTAATACAACTATCGACAATTTGTCGATGCCAATATGCCATATTAACCACTGCACCAGGAAACACGTGGCTTTGAGACGAAACCACTGTCGTCGTGACATTATGTGTATTCAGGCCAGGCTTGAGGAAGATTCCGGGGTTAATCACACTTGTCCCGGTATTTTCACGTGGGCCCGGTATGTAAGTGTTTACGGAATTTTGAAAAATCCAGGACCCCATCATGAGCATCCCGTAAATGTCACTATCCCCCTGACACCAATTTCCTCTCCTACGACCCTGTGTATGATATAATAATAATTATACATAATATAATGTGTGGTGAGGCTTAATATTATTAAGTCACATAGTTACTACTATTACATTCATTGGGTATTGATTTTTTATATTTGGTTCTAGACTGATATTCACGTGAATGTACGTATTACCTATACGTGGACAATGGAAGTGGAAACTATTGACCATGAAATAATGATTTTAATAGGTAGTTAAGAACTTACGGCAGWACGATTCAGTCTCGCAGCATACATTTTTGTCAAATTTATAGTAACATTGTTCGAGCATTAATGTGAAATAAGACGGRCATTGATAGTATTCGCATACAAATTTAGCTGTTATTTGTCTGTAAGCATTAGAAAAGAATGCACTTAAGAAGATAACACAAATTAATTAGGTAGAGTTTTATCTTTAWCTTTTCACGATAACTTTACTATATTTCAGTGAATATTAAGAACCATATAATTTGATTACAAACTTCTACTAAACGTCTAAACATACTGATTTTTAATGTACTTATTATTTACTTATCGTTTGTTTTCTGATCGCAGAAGCAACTGGATACACATAAGCTTAATGCTGAGTCATTCTTAGAGATATTAGCTCTTGGTGCATAGATATTTCCATTAAAATAACACTTGTCACWTGATCTCGTAAACACGTTTTCTACAAAAATTAAATTAAAATTATAAAAAATGTTCATTCCGACAAAGAGAAACTTTACCACAGTCGTATGCCACTGGACAAGAATTTGAATCATTTTCAATTATAGGTTTACATCCAATTTCTGTATACAATAATTTATTACTGTTACAACCTTAAAACAAATAGATATTTTAATTATAGGATACTATGTTTCCAAAATAAACTTAAATTATTAAGATACATATCAATAATTTTAGAATACCTGAGCATTTTACACAATCTAGATATAAAATTAATAAAACACATTTTGAAAGGAATTTTTGATGTTTTATAGAAATCATTTTTATTCAAAATATTATTTGAACTTTGTTGTAACCTGTAAGATGATGTAAAGCTACAAAGAGTATTGAGTAGTGACTGCCGACTGAAGGCTTACTAGTGGCTAAATATTAWTAATTATGAATACAAACTAATCGAAACCAGTTTTATAAAAATATAATGGCCATGAAACAATCATTACCAAAATATTTTTATGCACATAATAAACTTCTTATAATAAAGCTAATGCATCTAAATTTACACGATATATTTTTATATATAACAATGATTTTCGAAATATCAAGTTTAGGTAGCTATATAGCAGAAAATGTTAAATATTTAAAAAAAA